GCATGTAGGCTCAGTCCTTCTCCGGCCCCCAGGTCCCACTCCAGGGTGAGAGATTTTCCTGCCGTAGTTGCTCAGCCAGGCTCTGGGCGGGGTAAAGCCAGGCTGAGGTACCCTTTGACTCTTCAGACACATCTGGATTGGGCAACTGGGAAGCCAAGCCAAGAAGCTATGACTCCAGGGGACCAAGACTGGGTCAAAGAGTGGTGGACCTACTGTCAAGAGCACCGCCCTCTTAGGTCACACTCAAATGAAGGACAGTATCCCCTCTACCTCTGCATGACGGTGTGTGTGTGGTGGGGAGGGTGAACTTGGTGATCCACACCGGCTTCAGTGGCAGGTAAGGCGAGTAAGCACCCTCATCTCTCCCCAGTGAGAACCTTCCAGACTGGCAAGAGCCTGGACCAAGACTCTTGACTAGGTGAGGCAACGTTCAATCTGGGTTCTCTTCCCTAACCCCAGCCCTTTGGTCCCTGGGAGAGATGACACCCAGAGAGCTCTGGAAGACATTTTCATAAATGTTCTGCTCTTTCCAGGAACACTTCCTGGTAACCCTCAACTCCCTTCAGCCCATCTCCCCCCCTGGCCCCCCCAACAAAACTCCATGGCAAACTCCCTGGGAAGGGGCTTTTATATATTAAAAAAGAAGCTTTTATTGGAGAAAAAATGTGAGCACATTTTATTTATTTCTTAGTAACAGGTATCAGGGTGGGGAGAACAAAATGGGGTGCTGGGAATCAGATCCCTCTGTGGGGAGGCGAAATCTTCCCAGAATCCCTTGTCCCTCCCTACTTTGGGCACTTGGTGTGGGCGTGAGAGGGCTGAGGCAGGCGTGATTGACAAAGCTGACAGGAAGACAAAAGGCACTGGTGGGTTATATTTTGGGCCCACAGAAGAGGAAGGCTCCTTCAGGGACCCAGGTAAGGCCAGAGGCTCTCCAGCATCCTGACATCAGTCCTTTCCTTTCCCTTTCTTGGCTGGAAAACAAGAAAGAAACGCATCTGTGACCAGGGCTGAGACCCATCCACAACAGTGAAGTACATCAAGGAGAGAAAATCCTGCCCCCTAGTGGTCTTTGACCAGTTAACTTGCAAGTGGTGGAAAAGGGCAGCCATTGTGACACCAAGTCTTTTCTTAGTCCTTCAACTTTTTATCCCCCACACCTTTTTTTTTTCTTTCTTTTTTTTAAAAACATAGTCTCACTCTGTAGCCCCAAACTCATGGCAGGCCTACTGCTTCAGCCCTCAAATCACAGGCTAGAGTCACCATGCCTGGCTTTCAACTTTCTATTTTCAGTCAGGACCAGAGTATGTTCCTCACCTGGGAAGTGGGCAGACGGACCTCTGTTAGCCTCAATAGCTTTTGTGGGTCAGGCAGCAGCATGACCCTTTGGGACATCTTTCCTATAGTTTTAAGGGCACAGTGAACTCCTCCCTGACCCCACCTAATATTACCTCCTCACGTGACAAAGACAAGCCTTTTCCAGGAACCCAAGTTGGATGAGCCAACAGAAATAGTTCCTACTTGGGCAAAGAGGGTTTAGCACCTCCTGGGAGTGGCCCTGCCCATTCCCAATTCTGAGTGCTTTGAAGAGATGGCACGGAAGTCACTAGCCAGATCCATAACTCCACCGAATTCACTGACCTTTGGTCTTCGACTTAGTCTTGGAGGTACAGGGCTTGGTCACACGGATGGTCTCCTGGCACTGGGCATTGTAGCGAGCCTTCTTCAGGGTCCCTTGGCGGGCTTTGGTGCCAGTGCTCCCATCACACGCCCCCCAACTCTCAAACTTGTATTTGCAGTCGGCTGGCGGGAGAGCGGCCCCACGGAGTGAGAAACGGGGAGGGTTGTGGCTGTCCCCCTGCCCTGCTTTCCTGCCCTGTTCCTGAGCCCCACCTCACCTCCAAATTCCTTCTTCCAGTTGCAGGGCACCTTGCAATGGATGCGCTGGGTCTGGGCTCCGCAGGTACCCTCGCGGAAACCCATGCCGCAGTCTTTGCTGCTGGGGGTGCAGGGCCCCCAGGTCCACTCCGAACACTCGCTCCCCAGGCTGCCCTTCTTCACCTTGTCTACAAGGTGCAAGGAACAGAGTTAAGACCGTGGTGTGCCCGGAGACTCCCTCGGAAACCAATCTCTAGGTCACACGGCCTCACCTGCCCGTCCCCGGCCTTTCCTTTACTCCCGAGCCCGCCCTACCCCATCACCTTTCTTTTTGGCCACGGCGGACGTGAGCGCCAGGAGGGCAAGAAGGGCTAGAAGGAAGAAACCTCGGTGCTGCATCCTAGAGGAAAAGCTTGGGTTAGAATTTCTTGCTCATTCCCTTCCCCGCTGGAGACCGCGGGAAAGACCTCCCACCCCGACTTGGCCCACTTTCCAGGCCCAAAGAGTCGGGCCGACAAGGGGGCGACGGAGGGAGGACTTGAAGCCACTATCTCGGGACTCGGCGTAACCCCCCACCCCCGGCCTCAGCCTCCTTGGTGGCAGCAGCCTGGAGGGACAGAGGCCACGGCTGCTGTGCGCGCTCACTCGCTCACTGCCGGT